CCGTGGCCTCCGGGGGCCCCCAGGGGGCCCTCCAGGGGGGGCCCCAGGGGGGCCCCCCCCAAGGGGGGCCCCTGGGGGCCCCCCAAGGGGGCCCCCCGGCTCACACACAGGCTACAATCCTCAAGGGCATCCAAATCTATTAAATGCAAATGACGGCCATTGTGGGCGCGGCACACAAATGGGGCTGTTATGCGCCGGGGCTTCAAAGAGGTTCTTAAGGGGGGCCCCCCCGCATGGGGGGGCCCCCAGGGGGCCCCCCACGGCGCTGCAGAGGGGGCCCCTCCAGTGGAGCCCCCACTGGGGGCCCCCCAGGAGCTCCCCCCGTAGGTCCCGGCGCTGCTGCTGCTCTCGGCGAAACGCACGCGAAGGGGGGCCTTCACGGGGGCCCCCAGGGGGGCCCCCGTGGGGGCCCCCTTGAGGGCCCCTGTGGGGGCCCCCTTGGGGGCCCCCGTGGGGGCCCCCAAAGTGCTAGTGGGTGGGGACCCCCAACCCTCACTGGAGTCCACAAGGTAAGGCGGCACTGGCGCAGGAGGCCGCCCATTTGGCATTTCTGCGGGGGGCCCCCTGGGGCCCCTGAGGGGTATGGCTGCTCAGCTGAAGGGACTGTGTAGAAGAGAGCGGTGGGGCTGCAAAGGAAAGAGGAGAACCCTTAAACCCTAACCCTAAACACTACACCCTAGATCCTAAACCCTCAAAGGTAAACCCTAAACCCTAAACCCTAAACCCTGAACTTATAAGGGGCCTCACTCTCTATACTTCTTTTGGGGGGCCCCCAAACTCGCTGTACCCTCTTGGGGGGGCCCCCCCCTCTCCTGGAAGTCGTGGGTCTCGCGGTAGGTGTTGGAGAGTTTTCGCACGGGGATCCGATCCCAGCAGCAGCAGCTGCTGCTGCTGCTGCTGCTGCAGCAGCAGCTGTACGGGGGAGGCAGCAGCAGCGTCTTTCTGTCGAAGCAAAATGCATCAAATGCAGCAAGGGGGGCCCCTCGCTGCGGAGGGTCACCTGCTGCAGCAGCAGCTAAGTTGGGGTACATCAACTTTAACATATCTAAATCTCCCGGCACTATACCCATCTTGCTGCTGCTGCTGCTGCTGCTGCTGCTGCTGCTGCCGCCGCCGCTGCACGTGCTGGTGCGGCTGGGGGTG